TTCTCTTAAGGATCTAATATTCCCCTTTCCGGACGGCGGGACACCAAGTCTCACATTCATACAGATCATGAGTATTGCAAATTCTGACTTCTAGTTACGGAGGCAGCAGACTGATACATATTAAAAGTAGCAAGCATTCCCAGAATTCAGAATTGTGTGGTGTGTAAGTGGTCAACAAATCCATTCTGCAATCCATACCCCTAACAATTTTGCTACTTCTGCACGGTTCTCCTTGCCCCCCGGAATATGTGCACCTGTTCTGGCTGGGGCGAGATCCCGCGGCGGCCGGAAGGCTCGCAATTTGCACCAGGAGGAACGCCTCCGCGCCCAGAAGCAGCTGGACGAGAAGCATGTCGGTGTTGTCAAGCGCCATTTTGACGGCGCTGCCACCCTGCGTGGCCGCCACGTGTTGCCAGAGCTGTGAAGCTAACCACCATTTCCCTGGAATCTGCAAAGCAGAGGAGATGCACTCAGTACACGGCACATTTCCCACGCATGTGGTAACAATCCGTAGGCATCAGAAGGCACGCACGGGACCTACGTATCTTTACTGAGATCCTTCCAGAACATGAAGTCCTTCTAGTACGTAATGGTCGGCGAGACGGCGTACTGCGTGGATCTGAACAGAGTAATACAGTTCAACTTCTATATGCACTGCGGACACGCGGTAGCGTAGTTGCTTGAGGCTCTATGATACAAGCCGGAAGGTCGCGGGATCCAATCCCGATGAGGTGGATTTTTTCAATTGACCTAATCCTTCCAGCCGCAATATGGCCCTGGGGTCGACTCAGCCTCTAACAGAACTGAGTACCAGGAATATTCTTGGGGGTAAAAGGCGGGTGGCCTACAAGGTTGACAACTTTACCGCCATCTGTGAGCAGGTTGTCTAGATAATGTGGGAGCCTCAAAGACTAAGAAGCCTATGGGCCTCCACGGCCTCTTACAGGGTTACCTTTGCTTTACTTATGTACACTAGTTTCTGGCTTTACGAAAGGGCTGTGCTCCATAACACTGGCTCACTGGAAGGAAACCATGTCGAAATAATTCAGAGCCAAATGATAGATACATACAGCCTCCTGGTACATGGTCTGCAGGAAATGCATCAACTCTTTAAAAGACTAATTTTTCAACCCGAACTGAGACGGCGTACAACGTCCAAAAAACACCAGTAGAGTGAGCTGTGACACTCAGCCGACGTTGCGTTATACCGTAGTTTCGCTGTTACTCATCTCCGCGCGAGATATCCGTGATGAAGATAGCTGCAGTCTGTATCCGTGAGGGTTCTTGTTTCCAATTTTCTGACGTGCTTGAGCACTGGAAGCTTCCAGCCGTGACGCGGCCTCCGCACCCACCACTCATACATACTCACCAACATCACAACTTCCCTACAAGTGTTTCTCTCTTGGCGTGCTGGGCGCGTTCCCGCCCACGCAACACGTATACAATTCGTTTCTCCGTTCGTCTCTGCGTCTATATGCACGAAATGAGATGACGACCACTGAAAATATTTTCGCGGAATTTCACTTTTACTGAAGCATGCCGAAAACTTTTCAATCTTTTGTTTGCAAAACTTGGACGAAAATAGCTGGCAGTTCTCACGAAGACCTACGCGTACTTTTGCAGACATCTTGAGCGTACTTCCCTGTAGTCTTATCGCAGCGAAAAAATAAAAGTTCTAAACAAAAATATAAAGAAAAACGGAATATACGTTTCTATTTTCAATTGACCATCAACTTGCATCTTTAAGAATTCTGAAGTAAGCAACCAAATATACGGGACGTCTCGGGGAAGGTCAATGTTTTGGGAGGTCACAGTGTCGGTCATTGTAAGTGTATATATACAGCTGTCCTATTCCGAACGGTTTCCGAGATAGAGCTCTTTCACTGTTCAGTACACTGTACACTGTACAGACGAGCAACACGCCATGTGCTCACACGAGTTGCAAAATTTATTCATGCTGACGGCGGAATTTTTACAAACTTTGCCACTTGAACAATAAATTAGAAACAGCACGTAATATCTCTTTCCTACCAACAGCTTTGGAACTGTACAGTGAAATAGCTCTAACTCGGAAACCGTTCGGAATAGGACACATGTACATATACACTTTCTTGCTTAGAATGACCGATACTATGACCTCCCAGAATACTGACCTTTCCTCCTAGGACACTCTGTATATGCCTACAAGTATATAAACATGCCCTCCTATATAAACGCACTTTTATCCGTGACTGAGAGCACTGAAACTAAGCAATTTGCGGTTAACGCAGCAACGAACTCTTGGGCGTAACGCGAGTTATGAATGGGCCTATACGGAGCGAGGTCTGTACACAGTCCCCCACTCCCCACTCCACGCACTTCTAGCGTGCGTGCACTTGTCATTTCTCAGCGTTCGTTCCTGAAAACCTTCATCCTGAGGTGGCACGCCGACGGAAGCTGTTCTGCAAGAGAAGGAATGCATTCTGCGTACACTTCCCAACTTGTTTAGCATTAAGACGCCGTAACCCTACACACATATCAAGAGCGTGAGGTGGTCACATAGAGTCACACAATCTCTATGCTTTATTCCCTGTACTCTCAACCGCCGAAAATTTACCGTGGCACAAAAGGGAACAGGAAGCACAAGTGGCGAGCACACTAGTTAAGAGTAGAGCCAAAACTAGGAACTGGACTGAAATGTAATCCCAGGCAATAGAATAACACAGGTAATGATAGTGACGTAACTCAGTCGGGTTAAGAAAAGGAAAATGTACCCTCAAGGGAGATGTCATGTTTGCTGAAAACGTCCAGACATTTGCAGATGTGGTTTGCAGCCGTCACGAACCTTGCTGAAGGCCTAAATCTTGAGGTTTTACCAACGTGGGAAAGTCTCTAATCCGCTTAGCGGGCTCACGGAGGCCAAAAGTACCCAGAACAGNTAACCCCAAATTCTCGCTCCCTCATCCTGTAGGCAAAATAATTCTGATGCCCCACTCCAGCGCCATTCCAGGAAGTGACGAATGCTCACATACTGAGAGGCCGGTTCCTGTTTCATCTACAAGAACCTCAACTTTACTATGACTACGCAACAGCTTGAACTCGGTCCCCAGCACGCCATAGCGTAGCTACTTGAGGCACTGCGCTATAATCCGGAAGTCCGAGGTTCGATTTTTCAATTGACCTAATCCTTCCAGCCGTGCTATGGCCCCGGGATCGAGTCAGCCTCTAACAGGAATGAGTACCAGAAATCTTCCTGGGGATAAAGGGCTGTCGGCGAGTAAGGCTGACAGCCTCATCGCCATCTGTGAGCCGATTGTCTAGAAAATGTGGGAGCCTCGACGTCTCACAACCCTATGGGCAGCCACAGCTGGTTACAGGGATAGCTGTACCTTTAAGTTTTACGGTAAAAGATCCTTGGAGAGTAACAATTTTATTCATTAGCAGGCCTGAGTTACAGGTAACTGACGTGCAGATCCGTACGTGAATTATGGGAAGGTCCTTAATCTGAGAGCTTGCAACATCTGAAGCACGCAGACGGAGGGGGAGGGATTGACAAGCCATAGTACAAAAGTATTAATCATGGGGGGGGGGGAGAAAGAACACTGTTTTGCTAGAAGTTTCCCAGGCTTCGCGGTGTGGAAGTGGAGAGTCAGGCTGGTTAGAAGCAGCGGCTTGAGACAGAGGCCACAGGATTATCGACAACACATGGAGCTTCGTGACGAATTTAAGTCGAGAGGGGCCTGCAGTAACGACTTGGAACCATCTCAGCGTTTGCTTGAAAAGAGCGGAAAATCAAGAAAATCCTTTCATGTCGCGTTGGCCGGTCGCAAGAGTTCAGCATGGGAGATTCTCCGATGTTTGCCTAAGGCACTGACAATAAGCACAATATGAACTACAGGCGAATTTCTTCTAGATAGTATTTAGAAATAGAGTTCGTACCTCGCAGGAAACAGGCTGCCACTCCACCATTAAGGGCCAATTAGTTAATCTAGTTTGCGGGAGCAATTCTCTATATTCAGCGGATCATGTGAAACTCATAAATAAATTTCGAGGTAAGAATGCAGATTTTTACTGAAGAAGGTTGAGGCCCCCTTTTTGTTTTTGTGTCTGTGTATCCCTTTCTAATTCCTGAAATCCGGAATAGTGGAGCCAGAAGACACTGCCATTATAATACTATATAAACTTATATATGACATGTGACATGACGCCTGAAAGCCGGAATAGTACAGTCCCTGAAGCGCCGCGGAGACGACCATTGCTAGGAAACGGTTCGGTTATTAGAGTCTTCTAGCTCTGGAATTTCTGCGCTGTGCGACTGACTGCTAACCACGGTCCGTGTGGCATCAAAAGAAACTGGACGATTGGTTCTTCCCATGACTTCTTATTTAATTTTGAAGAGGTGCTGCATATTTACAGATACCTTCATGAGTCTCGACAGTACGGGAAAAGCTCTGTACCGGCAACACGGGACACGGCTCACTGCAGCGGCCCGAGAATCACCCATCGATTTGTTGCTGACGACCCCAGATCCATTACTTTAACTGCGGGGCAAGGTACGCACCTGTCGCGAGCTATCGACAACAAAGGGACAAATTATTAACGCGTCCACACCGTAGAAAGCAATGACAATACCACAATAGACTTCCATTAAGAAAGCTTTGTAATATCCGGTCCCGGCTAATAAATAGAGTGACTGGTGCAAACTGCGTTCCGTACATCGGCATAAAAGCTATGAATCCTTTTGAATTAAAGGTTCGATTTTACTAACGAGATTGCTAACATTGTATATAAACATAGAAATGAATTTCGTTAATTAACTTGTGTTATATAGGCACACGAGTCTGTTTGATGTGGCAACATTTACATTCTACATATCGCGCCTCGAAGGCTTAATCGTAAGCGGTAAGCGTGACTACAGAGGGGGGCTTGGATTAGAGACTGAGTTTACTGGACACTTACACTCGTAACTGCAAACAAGTGCGGCAGTCTCACTGGGTTACACACTCCAAACATCACTGTAACTACAGCACACATAAATTCTTCTCAGCCTACACTAGCCGTTGCTTGGTAGCGGCTTTTAACGGCTTCCCAGGCACACGAACATCATTCTTTCGTGTGTGATTATTCTGTTGTTCCTTGTTTTTGTGTCGAAACTCTCACACAATACTTGTTCTGTCAACTTCTGCAGTTCAGGGGCTGAAGCGAATCTGACAGACAGGGTTCACACTTGTGTTCCTTGCATTTCCATAGTTCTTGCCTTTGCAGCATGTCACTGAAGCTTACATAAAAGTGAAGCTGTCCCTGTAACATGCCGCGGCGGCCCGGGGTTCGAGACCACGTCAGGTCATGTGGGGTTTGTGGTGAACAAAGTGGCACTGGGGCACTTGGGTTTCTCATACCACCGACTGCTCCACACTCATCATCCCCTAACCGGGTGCTGTAGAACAGGCGAGTTAGTGGCCGGCGTACCAAGCGGACTGTCTCACCCTAAACAAGAAACCCTACCTGACAATATCTTGCCTGCTGCATTATCTGTCAGTATGTATCTATCTATAGCTCTATAGTCCTTTTGTTGGACCTTGGCCAGGTTTTCAGTTTCTTAATCCTATACACAATCGGCAGGACTCCTTGCACGGGGGAACAGCCCCTCGCAAGGCCGCTACATACACACAGAACAATATAAACACAGAATAAACACACACAGACATCCATGCCTTGAGTGGAATTCGAACCCACGATCCCAGTGTTCGTGCGGGCGAAGACAGTTCGTGCCTTAGAACGCGCGGCATTATCTGTCAGTAACAAGAAGAAAGGTTGCAGTCAAAAGTAAAGACAAATGTCTGAGTGTAACTTCATTTCCTGTTTACAGGCATCATTGTTATCAAGATACCTAACAAGCGTGGCACCGCCATGTCACTTGGCGGGCAACTACTGCATATATATATATATACATGAGTCACGGCAGATGCATAAATCACGGGAACACGGAACAAACCTTGAGTCACTATTGCACTCACATATCAGTTTTGATCGCCCATAAATTTCATAACTTTTTGGCTCTAAATACCGAAATGAAAATGGGTCTATTTAACCGAATGCATCTGGTACAGTCAATCTGGAAATTCCTTCTTGGTTTATACCAGAAACGCATACACCACGTGACGATGCTCAACCATCAGGGGCCCTGGAGAACGGCGTGAAGAGAAAACAAAGCTACATAGACACTGCAGGAGAGACTGGGACCGTGCAGTGTTTTCGGGGACACGCGGTAGCGTAGTTGGCTTAGGCATTATGCTACAAGCCGGAAGGTCGCTGGTTCCAGTCCCGATGAGGTGGATTTTTCAATTGACGTAATCCTTCCAGCCGCACTATGGCCCTAGGGTCGACTCAGCCTCTAACAGAAATGAGTACCAGGAATCTTCCTGGGGGTAAAGGGCTGCCGGCGCGTGAGGCTGAGAACCACACCGCCATCTGTGAGCCGATTGTCTAGAAAATGTTGGAGCCTCGAAGACTAACAAGCATATGGGCCTCCACGGCCTGTTACAGGAATACGAAATGGAGAGTAAGTCAGACTGCGCGTGAAACTGATCACCCTTCTGAGTCAAGTGCCGGGATTATAAATGCGTGGAGTTTCTCTTCCACTGGTCCTATTCGCCTGCAAACCATGAGCTGTAATTCCATTCATTTCTCATATGAATGTGTTGGGGACAACATGAGAGCCACTTGGATGGCTGCTCCGAAAAACAAAGCGCGAGGTACGAAACGACAAAAAGTTCACTTCCCCAGCTGCTATTTCCGAAATCCTGTTTTCGGATTGAGGGCACTCTCGCCTCCCGTCCTTATAATGTCACCCGGTTCTCTCGACCAACTGCCTATAATGTGATGCACTTAAAATTGAAGTTTACCTTCCTGTAGTTGTTTTCTTCCCCGTGCCGGAAGCTGACGATCCCCTCTCCATAAAGATACGCCCGGAGGGGCGCTATAGAAGTGACTAACACGAAGAGCTGGACGCTGACAGGAAATCCCAGAACATGGAGCTGGTTCGGAAGAAACTGTTGCAGCAGAGACTCCTGGCTCTCGGGGAACCTGAAAGGTTACGTTCATATTAACGGCGCGTGCAAAATTCTTACCAGTCGGGAAGTCATGATCTAGGCAAATTAAGCGAGTGATGGTGTGAGGTGTAGGACGTTGCAAGGCAAATGCACGTCTGTCGCTTACTCTTTGAGACGAACTCTGCTGAAGATCTCCATCGTGGACAGGTGTTCGAATCTGGCGCCAGGAAGTGACGGCTTCAGCAGCCACGAGCTGTTGAATCCCGGACCGTCTGCAATGTTGAGGAACTCTTCGTACTGTTCAGGCAGCGCGAAGCAGGCGGGTGTGATGGGGCGGGACGCCACGGCCGTCAGAGCGGACAGGTGGCTCGCCGTTCTGCACAGGCCCGGACGCCTCCAGAGGACGCTCTTCACTCCCAGGATGCGGTTCACTCTCTGGAGAGGGCCCATGGTCCGGAACTCTTCTCTCGAGAAACACTCCGGGTCCCCGTCGGAGAAGGCGAAGCACAGTAGGAGTGTCCAGTTGGTGAGGTGCTCTGGAGCAGGGTCACGACATTAAAAATTGCAGGGGCAAATTAGATAATTGGAGGGGGTATCTGGCCGCTTGGTTCTGCAGTCTGGGGTGTGCCGCCATATCCAACCCTGCGGATGAGAATGGCGGTGACGACAGGCTACAGCCCATGTGGCAGAACAAGAAGCCTGCCCAGGGGCTCGTCACGCAACATTGATCCCACATTGATTTCCCTGCTGACATAGAACTCAGGTCTCCAGAATGAGAAGCCAACACGTAACCGTCTAAGTATCACGCAGTATGAACTTTTCTTTTAGTTTGTTGGTGTGGGGGGTGACACTGAGTCCACTTGCTACGCCGGCCACTATTCAGCCTACTGTAGCAGCCCCGGGTGATAGCTGATGATGAGCGTGGAGCAGTCTGTGAAATGAGAATTGTCAGGGGAAACCGAAGTACTCGGAGAAAACCTTTCCCAGAGTCACTTTGAACACCACAAATCCCACATGACCTGACCTTGGATGGAACCCGTGCCTCATCGGTACGAAGCCGGCGTCTAACGGGCTGAGTCATGGCACGGCCTTTCAGAAACGTTTAGTGAGACGTGTTGGTATATACCAACCGTAGTTGGCGCTTGCGCACGCAGTCCATCGAGGGCCACTGCATTCTGGTTGCCGATAACGCGTCTCAGAGAAGCAAGAACAGCACAGATGCTGAACAAAACCATTTCCCCATGACGAGTTCACTTGGTCGCAGCTATAGAACAGCTGAACAAAGCAAGCAGATGGATAACCCAAATGCATGGCCCAGGGACTACTACAAGTCACCTGTCGTTCACTTGAATTTCGTGGTTTTGTGTACTGGTGTACACAGTTTGTAGGTCTTCATTTGCCAAACCAGTGAAGTTACTCGCGCGCTTGGACAGCTACGCCGTTCCCGTCAACAGATGATATTAACTCCACGATGCGACTGACTCTGGCCCCCTCCCCGGGACGACCATACACATGTCTGTCCATGTCCTGTCTCCCATTCCAGGGGTATGATCCTGGCCTTCCGGACCACAGCGTTCAGACTTTCCTGTTACATGCGCAGAACCGGACGAACAGAAAGTTGCTGCGCTTATGCGTAACATTTTGCATGCAACGCGAAAGGAAGAGGGTGGGGTATCTCCGCCTCTCCTCCTTTTCGTCTGCTTGTTTCATCAACTAGACCACTTAAGATTTTTAAATGGAATTTGGTTCTGAAAGTGGCCAGCCTTAACACGCCTCTGCTCAAATGTATTTTGGCCCAACACTTAGTTTGACCTGTAGCAGACTTCTCAGAAATGGGCCTTTCGTACAAGAGGCTGATACACGACACAAAGGTCTCGATGTTGCAATGTTAAGAACACAACATTTGCCCCTAGGTGGAAAAGAAATTTCTGCAGTTCATTTACTTTTTGAGAAACAGAAGGTAAAGCTGTCCCTGTAACAGGCCGTGGAGGCCCAGAGGTTTGTGAGACGTCGAGGCTCCCACATTTTCTAGACCCGTGGTTCTCAACCTTTGTGACACCGCGGCACGGTAAATTATTTTTTATAAGACGAGGGCCCGATGTAATTTATGCCGGGGCCCGGAGGTTGGGAAACACTCTTCTAGACAACCGGCTCACAGATGGCGGTGAGGTTGTCATATTTACACACCGGGAGCCTTTTACCCCCAGGAAGATTCCTGGTACTCATTTATGTTAGAGGCTGAGTCGACCGTAGGGTCATAGTGCGGCTGGAAGAATTAGTTCAATTTAAAAAATCCAGTGACCTCATCGGGAAACGAACCTGTCACCTTCCGGCTTGTAGCATAGTGCCCCAACCAACTACGCTACCGCGTAGCAGTACAAAATACGGCTCCATGAAATGCTGTGTGTCTGCTTCGTGTAAGAGGGCCCTGACAGAGCGCCTTGTGACGCATCATACCCCTATGCTGTTATCGGCAATCTGTTTATAGCAGAGTGCGCGGGGGATCAGGGTCACGGCATGAGGCTGCACTTCGCCCCAGAGCGTCTTGTCTCCCCTTATCAGTCAGTAGCCACAGACATGTACTTAACTGAATGGCTGTATTTTTGGCTGCTCTGAAACATCGCAACACAACGCATGCTTAATTCTTGCGGTGTTCCATCAACGAGCCGGGCTAGCATTTCCTGTCAAACGTCTGGTTTAGCTATGAAACAACGGAAGGACGAACATCGGTGCTTTAGCTGTTGTTCCGTAAGGAAGATGATCCCTATGCTGTCGTGTGCCCTTCAGCTTTTGAACAAACTGACGGAATTTCACGAAATTTTGCATGTTTCAATTCCCTACATTCAACAATATTAACATACCGGAAGTATGATCTTAAGTAGAAGCGACATTAGCGCTCCTCCAGCCAGAATCCTGAGTTATCGATCGTCATACGCCTTCGTGAGAGGTACAGACCTTTCTTAAGATATTGTTTTCATAGAATATGAAACAAAAATCTATGCAGCTCAAATACATTAAAGCTTATACCAAATATTGCACATTTCTGCCGATACATGGTACCGGATATACGTATAATTTCGGTACCCTGTTTAAACGGCGCTGTTGCGGCTCCCACATCTCAGGGTAAGTGAAGCTGACATTTCTGGCCCATAAAGATGAACCGCTACAGCTGATTATTTGGACACAAATTGGATTACGAGAATTATCATTTCAACACCGCTCCTCCACCAGCGGTAGCGTAGTTGATTGAGGAACTAGGCTACAAGCCGGAAGGTCGCGGGTTCGCTTTCCGATGAGCTCATCGAATTTCTAAACCGACGCAAACCTTCCGGTCGCACTATGGCCCAACAGAAATGAGTACCAGGAACCTTCCTGGGGGTTAAGGGCGGCCGGCGCGTAAGGCTGACAACCTTACCGCCATCTGTGAGCCGACTGTCTAGAAAATGTGGGAGCCTCGACGTCTCACAACCCTATGGGCCTCCACGGCCTGTTACAGGAATAGCTTTACTTTTTACCATTTCGATACAATGCATTTCCAAATGCTGTGAATTTTCTCGTTACCTGATCTGGAAATGTTCGGCACAGCGGCGTCTTCTACACGCACAGAGAAGCCATGGTTGCGTAACACTTGGGTGTAGAACCCCAGAGCACGCTGCACCAGAGGTCTGCGCCCCCGTATCACTGCCAAGGGCTGCCCCACCCACGTGTGCCGCTGTTCAAGCTGCAAACACAACAAGCTCCCTTCACTTGCATGCCTTACTGTTCACATACAGTACAACAGTTTATTTATAATTCGAGTCCCGATGAAGTCATTCCATTTTTCAGTTGACCTAATCCTTCCAGCCATACTGTGACTTTCCTTCCACCTTTACCTGAATCTGCTGCAGGAATCTGGACCGAAGTGGATGTACGTGAAAGAGGTGAGGTAACCCGGGGAGCCAGGTTCCTGGAGAACGCTGAAGGAGTTCGGGTTTAATCTTGAACAGTTATTTATTGAACAACTCATTAATACTGTACAGGTTTATTAAACTAAACTGTACCGTGGTCGGCCAGCTACATATGTTACAAGAGCGGGCACAAAATTGCTCAAACCACTCACATGCGGTTCGTATTACGTTACAGGGTGTGTGAGCTTGGAACTCTTGGTCAGGGAGCTACTTTAATGACTTCCATCTGGTTCCAAGATAACAAGAAAGTGTCAGTACGAAGAGCTGTTATGACAGTAAAGCTCACAAGAGCGACAGAGGGGCCATTTCATGGCTTGAATGCATGCTGACCGCAGAGTCTGATAATAGATGGCGCGGCACAGACGTTTCCAAGCTCTCCCATCTCCACGCCCACTCGAGCCAGCCGATGCACTTCCTGATCCATCCTCCTTCCGGCTTCCTCTGATTCCTCTCCTGACTCAGCCCCTGCCATCCCAAATCCGTCAACCTTTCCTGATAAAAGTACTTTAAAATTCTATAATGAACTGCACAATTAAATATCGTACACTCTACACTACCCTGCCTCTCCACAGTTCCCATTACGTCACACTGAAGTGCAGTGCAGCGCAGTGCAGTTGTTCGGAAAATTCACTGCTTCAGGAAGCAATGAGACGTCACATTTTTGGAGTGCAAGATCAAAGGCAGACGAACACAAGGCATACATGAACAAAAGAAAGTGAAATATATTGCAAAAATTATTTGTCTCTCTGAAACATTTCTCAGGGCACGTCACACCCCGAGTAGGCACCTCGATGGAAGAGAATCTTGTGTGCTGAATGAAATCTCCGGTCTACAAGCCGCAAGGTCACGGGTTCGATTCCCGATGAGGTCATTGGGTTTTTCGATTGATCTAATCCTTCCAGCCGCACTGTGGCCCTGGGCTCGGCTCAGCCTCTAAGAGAAATGAGTACCAGGAATCTCCCAGGGGCTAAAGAGCGGCTAGTGCGTAAGGCTGACAACCTCACCGCCATCTGTGAGCCGACCTGTGTGGAGAAAATGTGGGAGCCTCAACGTCTCACAAACGTATGGGTCTCCACGGCCTGTTACACGGATAGCTGTACCTTTTTCAGTACTTCGAAGGCAAAATGCACTGACTTCCCATTAATGAGGAAACAGTTACGTCAACATCTGATATGATGACACAATCTCAGACATTTTAAACACAGCAGTATATAAGCGCACTTCAAACACTGCCTTTCGAGAGTTCCGTCACCTGCGACGAGTACATAGTTCGCATTGTTACGGATAGACAGCGCTGAACGCCTGAGATTAAAGTGTGATCTCTCCCTTTACTCTCGACATGGAGATGGTGTATAAAAGTGCTTTGTGTACTGTGTTTTTTTTTTCTGTAGCGCCCACGGACAACTTACTGAATACAGGATGGGCAACGAAATTAAAAAAGCGATAAAAACAGAACTAAGGCCGAAATTAAAATTGCAGAACTTCGTGAAGTGTCAAGGAATGTGGTTGCTTGAAACAATAACTATCAACTGTATTCGTCACAGAAAATAAGACGCGTTTTGCGGGACTTCACGGACATAATCGTATTCTGCCATAGTCGCAACGGGTGCAGTAGGAGCAGGGCCCCTGCAAATATGGCGGCATGTAACGCTGAGTCACACCGCGCAGGGTCTCGCGTCTTACGCTCACACGTTTAGGAAGTTAATTTACTGTTATTCGTTCGTTCTACAGCGCCTCTACAGCCCTTTGTTGGGCCCCGGCCTCTTCTTGTGTTTCGTAATCATTTTTACACAGTCGGTAGGACTCCTTGGACGGGGGATCAGCTCACCGCAAGGCCGCTACCTACACACAGAATAAACACATACACACGTCTCGAGTGGTATTCGAACCCATGATCCCAGCGTTCGAGCGAGAGAAGAGAGTTCATGCCGTTGACCGTGCGGCCACTGTGATCGGAAATTTACTGTTATGCAATAATTATTTCTAAGAAAACGCAGATAAAAATACTCGTATGTAGCATCGCCTCCATCTTCAGGGTCGAAAATGCTGAGCAAGATACCAGCGTAAAAGCACGGCGTTATGTCCCATCATAACCACCGCTGGGAGAACCTCAATACAAGGTCAATGAACTTATGCAAGAGACAGACAACAAGGTTACTCTGTCGCATCCCGCCTCCTCCGCGGTATAAGCTTCGAGCTCCCATTATCCTGTACGGAGCTGAGCCCTTCTGGAGGAGCTGCCAATTGTGCAGCTACACAAGAACTTCCCAGCATTTTATGGAACCCGGAGGTTCATTACAGTGTTCACAAGAGCCCTCCACTGGTCCCTATCCTGAGCCAGAGCGATCCAGTCCGTACTGCCCAATTCTATCTCTCTCTAAGATACATATTAATATTATCCACCCACCTATATCTTGGTCTTTCTGCTGGTCTCATTCCTTCTGCCTTCTGCATTCTTCTTCTCCCACATTCGTGCTACATGCCCTCATCCTCGTTGATTTGATCATTCTAATTATGCTTGGATTACCCTGTACCAGCAGTTCACACTTTTCGCAATCTATGGAGAACGTACATATATATTCATGGCTTAAGTAGACTGCAAAACTTGCCGAAGGGATCAGTTTTTCCGGGTTTTTAAACTTACCCACGTGTGTACGGTCGATAATTGGAGTGGAGCAGATGACGTGCCCGCATTACAGCCAGAAAACCTGCCTTATCAACGGGCAGTTTCATAGCTGGGCCAGATTCGCTCCTCTCAAATGTTTATCGCATTCTGGTCCGGATATGCTACAGAATACTCACCGTAGCACACAGACAGTTCGCTGTTTACGCAAAGCGTATCGCCCTTCTAGCGTTTGGCTGTACTATAAGGCGTTTATTCTTCTGGCTGCGGGCGTACGTTTCATATCGGTTTCCATTCCCATCATGTTAGGAAAGTGTCGCTTTTCTTTCCCGGGATAATGAAATACGAGTACTTCTTGGAGAACGCAGCACACTCCGAATGGGGGATCAGCCAATTTATTCACATGACAAAACATAAATACACATGTCCCATTCTGCACACACTAGTTGCAACACTGACGCGAAACTTACAGAAACAGCATTCAAATGCAATGTGGCACATTCGGTCTCCGCGGCATCAACAATACTGCAAGCGTATCTTGCGAAATTCTGAGATGGCAACGTCTCTAGGCTAAATGCGTCAAAATAAAATTCTCGCAGGGGATCGGTCGCAGAGCATGCGAACACAGTTCGCGGGCCCACAGAATTAGGTATCGGGGTTGGTCTTGGCTGTCACAGACAGGCGGCACTGTCAGCAGACACAACAAACTGTGCTGTCTACATACTGCACTTTACAAACTGGAAGAGAACTAGAGGAGTGCCTGAGCTGAGTACTTTGTGCTATTTTATGAAATTCAAGTACGTGAAAATTAGAATATAACAAAATTATAATTTTGCCTGTGGTTCTGTATGGGTGTGAAACTTAGTCTCTGACTTTAAGGGAGGAACATAGACTGAGGGTGTTGAGGAGAATATTAGGACCGGAGAGAGATGAAGTGGCAGGAGGTTGGAGAAAACTGCATAATGAGGAGCTTCATAACTTGTACTCTTCTCCATGTGTAATTAGAATGAGCAACTCAAGGAGGATGAGGTGGTGTTTCAGCATAAGGGACTAATACAGTACGTGACATAGCTCAGGCGGTCAGTCGCCGGCTTCCCACCGCGGCGGCCCGGGTTCGAGCCCAGGTCAGGTCATGTGGGATTTGTGGTGAACAAAATGGCACTGGGGCACTTGGGTTTCTCATGCCACTCACTGCTCCACACTCATCACCTAACATCCGGGGCTGGTAGAAGGGGCGAGTTAGTGGCCGGCGTACTAAGTGGACTCAGTCTCACCCGAGGGAGTGAGACAGGATGCCAAAGGGAATGTCTCGACGCAGAGAGCGGGAGCGATGTAGAGCTCTAAGGTGCTATCCCATGATTGTGGTTTGTCGTTGTTTTCCTCAGTTCCTAAAAACTGGTTCGTTTTGAATACTTCACAATTCATCATTCAACAATTTCCCACTCGACGCTGTATGAGCTTAAGATAACGCTCAAAAATTCACGAAACATTAGCAGGACTATCAAATTAAGGAGTATTGGATGGGCGGGGCATGTAGTTCGTCTGTAAGAATGACAAAAGCATACAGATGTCTCTTGACAATTTAGACATGAAGAGATCACTAGGGAGACCTAGGAGTAGATGGAAAGGACAATAATGATCTGGGTCTTGGAGAAGCTGGAAGTCGACTATAATGACCTTGCTCGGGGCAGCGATCAGTGGCGGCTCCACAGGACGGCAACTTATCGCCATGCTCAGTCACCATCAGCTTCTCACGAAATTATGTGTAAAATGAAGGGCGGTGAACATACGGAGACGCCAAACATTGGCGCGGCTGGGTACACACAGATTTCATTCATATGTATCGAACTGCTGCCGTAGATGTGGGGGGGGAGCAGACCACGAGGAAGACGGACGCAGTGACATGCTTTTGGTACATGTGGCACCCCCGCCCACACCAGCCGCTCCTAATCTGCACTCGAAATTAAAATCCCGGGGAAGCTATGGAGCTCGGACCTGCTGCCTAGCGGCGAGCCGCAAAACTAGCGAGTTTTCTTTTGCCCCCTTGCTAAATCCAAGCCCCGGGACTTTTTTTGTACTTGAAGTTCCCATCTCCGAAGAAGACATCGTCTTGAAAGTATCTCTGTCTGCCCCTCCCAATTCCATTGTGTGGTTTCAACGTAAAATGGAGTTTTTAAGCTAGCGCTTCTGTGCGTGGTGAGTAGCGCAACTTGCACACTCATCTCCCGGCCTGTTTTGTAGCAGGCAAATGGGAACAGCCTCATTCTGGCTCCCTGCTACTTTTGTTATGCAGAGCCAGTGACTTGCCTCCGCGGGTTGCATCTCGACACTCATGCACTTCACTCGCTGCCGGTCCAGGCAAGGGAACAATAACAAACAAATACGCAATGATTACTGTGGGCCTCAGAATTGCACTTGCCGAGACAACTTTCTTTTTCTTTTCCTCTCCTTCCGCTCAAGCTTTGGAGCATAGGGCTCATTTATCAGTTTCAGTGATCAGTTTACACTCCTTGGGCGAGTGATCAGCTCACCGCAAGCCCTCTACCAAATGACGTGACCTGTGCTCGAACCCAGGCCGCCGCGGTAGGAAGCCTGAAGAAAGAAATAAGACTGAACGGTCGTCGTTTAATCAAGGTTATATTCCGTCGTTTTTCCCGATGGGCCGAGGAAAACCACAAAATCGTGGGTCAAGATAGCCGATGAACTTGCTGAGATTAGAACCCAACACCCCACCTATTTTTCATTATTGCTAGTGGGACTAAGTCCCTTGCACTGCGGCCACTTCTGGCCTATTGTACCAGCCCCAGATGATAGGTGAGGGTGATTGTGGAGCAATTGGTGGAATGAAGATTGGCAGGGGAAACCGAAGTACTCGGAGAAAACCTGCCCCAGCGTTTTGTCCACCACAAATCCCACTTGACCAGACCCGGGATCGAACCGGGGCCGCCGCTGTGAGAAGCCAGCGACTAGCCGCTTGAGCTATGGCGCGGCCCCAACACCTCACCTTACTTCTACGACATAATTGTGGCATTTGTATCGTTACATTGAACAGATGCGAGTATCACCTGAGGTCGAGAGTTGCACACAGAAACGTTCCTACTATTTCATCGATATGTGAAGCATTTTCTGAACAGGACTGGTCACTGTTAACTTTAGCTTACTCTGAGGAAGGCCTCGCGGAATATGCCGTACCATAGCTCAGGCGGTTAGTTGCCAGCTTCCCACCGCGGCGGACCGGGTTCGAGTCCGGGTCAGGGCATGTGGGATTTGTGGTGGATAAAGTGACAGTGGGGCAGACTTTTTCCCAGTACTTCGGTTACCCCTGCAAATTCGCATTCCACCAACTGCTCCTCACTCATCATCTATCAGCCGGGGCTGGTGCAATAGGCCAGTTAGTGGCCGCACTGCCCAATGGGCTCAGTCTCACCCCACCACAAGAAACTAAAAATAAAAGGAGGAACATCCCCCCTTCAAATCATTACGAAAGCCACGTTCACAGATTAGCTTTAAGCTAAACGTTATGAGTTTCAAAGCTCTGATACCCCCGTCTAGGAGAGTGACAAACCCGGGCTCTTTATGCAGACATTCACTGACCTCTCTGGCTACGGTGTAAGAACTGGCCGATGGATTTCGCAATAAATCGAAGTGTGCAATTTGTTGCATTCTTATATTGCTTCAGCGGTAGGGTAGTTGCTTGGGGGCAATATTTCACAAGCCAGAAGGTCGCGGTTCGATTTACGACGAGGTCATTGGATTTTTTCAATTGACCTAATCCTTCCAGCCGCACTATGGACCTAGGGTCGCCTCAGCCTCTAACATTAATGAGTACCAGGAATCTTCCTGCGTGCAAAGGGCGGCCGGCACGTGAGGCTGACAAAGTTACCGCCATCTGTGAGCCGACTGTCTAGAAAATGTGGGAGCCTCGACGTCTCACAACCCTGTGGGCCTCCATGGCCCGCTACAGGGATACGCACGACCGCGATGGAGCCAACTGCAAGCTTCGCCAAGCTACTGTCAGCAACGCCGCCGGACCATGCTCTCATGGCGTGTAAATGCAATTTTACGCTGAATATCTTTTTTCCAGTCTTGAGGCGACATATCTCGGTGTCTTCCCTCAGCTGATTGGCTGTTTCCCAGAGACTCTGTGGGGGCCTGCATTTTAGAGACGACTGCAGGAACACACTGTTGGACGGAACTCTTCGGCTCGCTGAGGAACAGGGTCCGGGGGGGCGTTCAGAATTAGTCAGCCGCTACAAATTTGGATAACTGCATTCCCTCAATCGTTGTTTTCAAACTGTAAATTACCAGCGTGCCACTGGATATGTTCGCTGGAGAACCTGCCCATCGCGGAGTGGGTTAGCTGAAAGCTGTGCTGGCAGAGCAAAAAAATAAAGTTCAAACACTGTTGGATCTAATCAGAAATTCGATATATACGTAACCTCCACAGCAAGTCGACGCCACCCCATCCCCTAATCATAAGGGAACACCGAGGCCCGGACTGCGCCCCCCCCTCCACTGGATACTTGAAACTCAGCTCATCTGAGCACAGACGGGGTAATGAACCGTTGGAATGAGCTGCTAGTTTCAAAACACTCCACGGCCGGCTAATTGGGCGGGATGAGCGGCCTCTCGGAAGCCATTATTACAAGAACCAATCACGAGAAAAACCTGCAACAGAAGCCAAATGCTGCAAAGTCTTCCCCGCTTGAATAATAAGTGAGTCAGTAAATACGTCACAAATGGATATAGAACGTGAAACATGTGATATTCGAAACTATAAGCAGCGTTTATTTCTGGGCATAATCCTCCACTAACACTCACACACCTGTCCCATCGCTTTAACCCGCAGCATAGAAGTCTTTTGGCTGTTGTCTCAGCCACTTCCGCACATCCGTTCCAAACTTTTCGTCGTCAGCGAAACGTTTCTCGATCCATTTCTGAACCGCTTTATGCGACAAACACTTTCCACCGTAAACAGGAAACATTTCTTTACGAATATCAATTGCATTGAGTCCTTTTGCCCATAGATAAGAGCAAAACAGAACACTGATCTTCGGTAGCACACTTCTGAAACAGGATCACCATTTTGATTATTGAAAACAGCCTCTGAACATGCGCATGCGCGTCTGCTACCTAGACTGTCATGAAGTTGGACTGTGCTGCTAACTAGTTTTTACGTCCATTGCAGCCGTTTTACTTCCAATTTTGGCCTGTTTACTGACTCTCCCTCGTATTTAACAATGCCGTTTCATCTTCAGAGGTTACATGCACTGAAGTGAGAGGTGGTGGAGATGATGAACGTTGAAGCGGAAGAGACCCTGTTGTGGTTAGAAGCGACGCGCTGTGAACTCTCTGGACCGTTTGAGGACGAACAAGAACCGAACGCCGTCGGGACGCGGCAGTAACAGCTGAGGGACAGGCAGAGACAACTCCAAGCAGTTGCCACATGGGAGAACTGCGAGAGCTCTAAAACCATGAGCGTTGGGGCTGCATGGAAAAAGAAAAAGAGTTCTTGACCAGCTGAGCGACTAACACCTTCTCCTCCATGGATTTTATTCCGAAAATATGAGGGAAGATTATCGGTCCTAACCATGATCTCACAACCTCAGCATAACTGTTCATTGCAGCAACAGGAAGAACAACAATACGTAAAATACAAACAAATAACTTAGCACTTCCGGTGCTACACTCCTACTGTCTGCTACGTGCTTCGTAGTGCGGGAGGCTTAGGCGTGTATGAGAGCCGCTCTCACAGAATCATGGCTGGAGGCACCACGACAGCTGCATTCTGCATCCTTTCTAACTTCTTGATAAACATGACGACAAGTTGAGAAAGCGTCGTTAAATTAACCACGACACAGCAGCAAATTTCACTTGAGTCGGCCTCCCCAAAAACTACCTTCCCTTTCCGTCATTTAAGTTGCTAATTCTGGGCAGACACTCAGACCGTGCCCTAGCTCAGGATGTTAGTCGCTGGCTTCCCACAGCGGTGGCCCGGGTTCGAGCCCAGGTCAGGTCATGCAGGATTTGTGGTGGACAAAGTGGCGGTTTCCGACGCGCTTACTGGACTCAGTCTCACCCAACCCCAAGAAATTAAAAATAAAACAAATAAAAAGCAGACACACTAAAGTTTTTAGAATTTTTTATGTAATGAAGTATTTAAAACGTTACCATTCAGTGCATTTTATTGTTGGAAATATAAATTCTGTATCTGTAACATTTCTGACGATGAATGTCCGAGGAAACGGGTACAAGGACAGCGGTTCCGGACTCACCCCATGTCACTTTACTGGGGGGGGGGGATGTACAGTCCTGCAGCTGCCGCGGAGCGGACTCAACGCCGCTACCTCGTCCCCTAGTGAAGTAGTATCGACATTTTAATTCCAATAGAAATTATTCACTTGAATACAAATCCTAAACAAATATTTGTCTTGACGTTGTACAAATGTCTGGCAGTTTAATTTCCGAATGATTGAGGGCAGTCCAACTCGCACGAATGGCGGCTTGTAGACCTGGAAGAGACCAATTTCTTAATGGAACGCATGGGCTTACGTCACCCGAACGTATGCCTTTCAAAGAAGTGAAGTACGAATAAACAAAAAAATCATACAACAAAGCAGGGAAGCAAACAGCGTCCCGACGCTGCTACGCCAATTAGTTTAACATACCCTAGCCTGTCCGGCGTCGCAATTCCCTTCATGTGGTCTGAGGGGCAAGTACAGCCTCGTCTAAAAGAAGTAGCCCAGAATAGTAAGGTACTTCCGTTTTCCAAATTACCGAATGGGTTGACCAAAAAAAGATGACATTTTAATAGAATTAGTTACAACGTTGCGAACTAGTTCCTTCCACTTCCGAGCGCCTTCACTTATACTGTCACGTGTATGTGTGACTATAGACGGGGGATTCTGGATTGGAGACTCCATTTATTGACCACGTATACATAGGACTCGGGAACTACAAGTAACTACAGCGCCACCGCTAATCTCCACATTTTACAAATCACCATAGCACCCGCTAAGCATTTTCTTAACCAGCCGTTTCCTAGCAACGGCTTCTAACACTGCAGATTCTTCACTTTTCGCGTTCATATTCTTCCTTCAAAGACTTCCGTACAGAACTGACCATCACCCAAGTTGCTTATAACATCTCAGCACGGACCACGCCGAAACACCTCGTTTCCACTGTTCTAGTCCAACCGTTGCATAATTATTGAGAATCTGCTGCCTAGCAACGGGAACGTGTTTACTGAGCCGTTGTATAGCAACAGTCCTACATGTTTAACGATGCTGTCAGTAGGCAGGATCAGCAGAGTGTGGTGACAGCTCAGGCAATGAAAGAAAGTAGTGAGCATGGTTCAACACGAATGCAGCCGCTGACAGCGGAAAACCGTCCAGGATTGAGAAATTCTGTTACACTCTGCACCGGATATAGCACATAAGATGGCGACTCTGTTGAGAAGTATCGAGATACAGTAGCGCTTCGAGAGCTTTGCCATGACGTTTTATTTTCTACCGTCTGCTGCAAATGTCGCGATGATTTTCTGTGGCTTCTCTTCTCCTGACTGAATGTTTCTTCAGAATTTGTGAAGAGATCGAGTTATCCAGGTAGGAAAATAATACCAGTTCAGTTACGCTCCACACACACACACACAGTATTCACTGTCTGCTGCGAAGCACTGCATCACCGTGGAAGGCGAAGTTGCACGCTACCAAACATGTGTTTCCCTGAAGGTAAAAAGGTAAAGCTGTCCATGCAACAGACCGTGGAGACCCATAGTATTGTGAGACGTCGAGGCTCCCACATTTTCTAGACAGTCGGCCCACAGATGCCTGTGAATTTGTCAGCCTTACGAGCCGGCCGGGCCGCCCTTTACCCCCAGGAAGATTCCTGGTACTCATTTCTGTTGGAGGCTGAGTCGACCCCACGGTTATAGTGCGGCTGGATGGATTACGTCAACTGAAAACATCCAATGACCTCATCTGGAATCCAACCCGCTACCTTCCGGCTTGTAGCACAGTGCCTCAACCAACTACGCGAAGAAACTATGCAATAAATTCGTAGCGACGGTGCGTAGAACAACGCAGTACCACCATTACAGCGGCAGACGGGCTGGTTGTACATAGTACCAATTCCGCCGACAGATGGATCTGTCGTCATTTACCGTCTTTCTGATGAAAGGTGTCCCTGTGCTTAACTAATTAAGTACTACGCCATGAAGGCGTATGGAGGAGTGGATGTATAGATCTACATTTTCTTGACCTCGGCACTAGTTGGAGGTGAGTGGTCAGCTTCACGCCCCTGCAGCTTTGTCCCCGGCGAAAGAGCCTCCAGTACCCATTGAATAGGAGGCTGGGTGGACCCCAGAGCCCCTCTCAACGACGTGGAGAAGAGAAAATTCTGATCCTACCGGGACTAGAACACTAACCCCTCGGTCGTCCGTCCCGTAGCCAGTCGCTATACCGACTGAGCTACAGAAAGATATTTATTTAGAAGAGATGTTTGGGACCTGCATTTCGGATGTTATGTCATTGACAACGAAGTCCAAATTCATAGACTGTAAAATCATTTAAGATTTTAACTCTTCCTCGCGTCGTTTCTGCATAAAATGAAACTCCGCCCAAGGGGGGCTGGTGTAGCAGATAAACTGTTGTATTCTGGGAGTGGTTTGGATGGTTCTGGATTGCGCAACAAGCTCACCATGAGCTGGCTGCTACCGAGGAGTTAGGCGCGAAAGGATATGAAACTCGAGCACGAATTGCTGCTTCTGCAACTCTGCGGCGGTAGAAGCAGCCACAGCCAAAGAGACACAACCGTACACAGAAAGCGAAGCGGACAACACTGTAAACACTCTGAAGTGCTTAGAGTCCCGAAAATTAACTACGCACTTCACGCTAAAAGTTCTGATTGTGACCACTACATCGCTCTTCAATGGCTTTCAAGACAAGTGACGTAAGCCTAGATGCGGACGACCAGACTGTACCAAGTCCTCTGAAGTAAAAGGCTCAAGCAAACATCCACTATCCCACTTGGAGACGAAACCACAGTTCAACGCATGAGCGGGCTACGTTCATGACTACCATGAAACGGCGCCGACTCCAGGTTATTTTGTGGACATTAACCAGCTGACGTTGCTGAGTGTGTACAACACTGAGGACCTCTCACCAGGTCACAAAGTAATCACACTAAATATTGTCTCGTCAGTGACTATACACAGGGTTTGGATTGATAATCGTGTTTACTGAACAGTTATAAATCGTAACTACGAGTAATCATAGTATTCTCGCTAATTCACGCACTCTGCTCCTCGCTACAGCATTCGTGGAGTCTTCTATACTTTTATTAGCCGTTGCTTGGTAACGGATTCCAGCAATATACTCTGCTTATGTCATTACCGGCTGGCGACTATGTCAGAACTCATTGCTCCAAGTGTAGACTCTAAACTAGTGACTGACAGTCGAGTCAGTGTTACTTTACCGCCAATCAGTCCGTTTTGGCGCCAAGCCCCTTCAGGCACACGACCAGTGATTTTTTTGGGAAACTGAACCCTTGAGGCCACAGTCTTTACGTAACATCCTCTCTGACGAGAAGATGGGCCTGTTTCTTATGAACATGATTGGCCTTTCGTCAAGAGCATATTTCACACATATATCATGTTGCTGAAAATTCTTCCTTGTGCACTATACACAAGTCCTCTATCAGTGCAGGCTTTACAGAGCAGATCATATCTACCTTACGTATCTTATGCTATAACGGCAGCTTAGTTGACTGACTTGGCTCGTTTCCTTGTTATATAACCTCGGCACGGACCGAAGAGAAAATACCGTCTCCAAGAATTCCTCTATTGCTGACTGTTTATTCGTTGCTGCGGAAAAGTGTTTATCGGGCTGTTACCAAGCAATGGCTGTCTTTTTCAGTCATCATGTCACAATATTTTATTCAAACAATGAAAAGACGATTATGAGGACGGGTCAGTAGAGGAGTACTCAGACAGGAGCTCTCGCAGTTACCTTGAACAGCAGGTCCAGCAGCTGAGGCGAGCGGAAAGCTGAGTCCGCGTGGCTGTCCCGGTAAGTCAGAGACTCCTGGCGGCTGACACTAGAACTGCCGTCCGAGGCGTGCAGTCGCCCAGCCGAGAAGCCCAGGTGATAGGTGACGTACAGGGACAGCAAGGAGAAAGAGGTGATCACTGCCAAGAGGTCCCGGATCGACGACAGCTGCAGCGGGCACCGCGGCGGCATCTTCAGAGGACACCGTCCTCACCTGCCAAACACAAGCAGTGCGTCCTCATGTCGGCGCTTTCTCAGTATATGGCGTCGGACGGTAGATGCTCAATGAATGACGAGTTGAAAAGGATTTGGAAGGAAACGGTAGTGACGTAATTGAGTTACTATCCAGGAAGATTCCTGGAGGAACTGAAGAAAACTCCGAAAATATCGGTCAGGACAGCTGGCGTCCCGCACTTTACCTCTAAACCAGCTATTTGGTATAGAACTTATAATATGAGGATTACAAGTGAAACTGTGGTTTCTGAGCTACACAGGGCAGACAACATGTTTATTAGCCATACATGGGTCAGGCGCTCTCGTTACATGCATTAGCTAAGACCTCCTTAAGGACTCCAGATTTTTATCGAAATCGAATTTTCAAACCATTCTTTACTTTCGAGAAAAGCAGAGCTTGGCGAAGGCGATGTTGCTTTCTCTAGCCGATCGGTAGCCTGGGGCCCTGGCAATGCTGGACCCACGCGTTTCCCCGCATGGAAAAGCAAACACAAGAAGCTCGAACAAATCCACGCCTCTCGCGAGAGCAGCGTTGCGCCGGGGCTGACTCATTCCTTCAGCAGCTGGTGTACAGCAACCCCCTACTTAGAGCGAAACCGGGATAGCTCAGTCGGTATAGCGACGGGCTACGCGCTGGGCCAAACTTTCCAGACCGGCTCTGGGGCCCATTCAGCATCCTCTCCAGTGGGTACCGGGAGCACTTTCTCCGGGTGTAAAGCGGCCGGGGCGTGAAGCTGACCACTCACCACCAATTAATCCAAAACCAAGAATGGCGGAGCTATACCTCCACTCTTCCATACGTCTGCATAGCCTGGTGCTTAACTGGGCATAGGGACAAATCTACCTTTGCCTTTAAAACACGGTTATCGACAATAATTACCCAAACTTTCCGAAATTTCCCTCAGCCTCTCTGGGAACAGACCATGATCATCAGTTCCAAACCTAGCGTATGCGCAATGCATGGTCGCTTGCCCATTCCGTCAAGCGCCACGTAACCTACATAGTCGAATCAGCATCGTTATATATGTCAAGTTCTGTCACTTCCGCCGTCTTCACGCTCCAGAAAGTAGTCCAGACGTGCGTGGATCAAGGCTTACGGAACCGGGCTGTCAGCCCGTCACCTGAACTGAACTGGGTCTGCATTGCGTATACTGACGGCTACAAGGGAAGTCCAAATTTGGACCTTGTAATGAACTAGTTTCCGGTCTATAAAACAGAAATTAACGGCCGTGGGGTTTCGTTGCGCCTAAAGTCGGCACCAACTTCGCCTACAGGCTGCAGTCGCTTGGTCGGTATAGTTCGCTTGTGGACTAAAGCCATGGAATTAATGAAATAGTTTCATTAAGACTTCAAGTATATTGTGGAATGTCTGCTGAAAGACAGAGCTGTGAAGTCAGCAAAGACAGCCGTTGCTAGGGAACGGTTCTACAAACACGTCTGTTAATAGGCAACGCCTCAGTAGCCGTCACTTGGTAGCCGCAACAGACACGCATGTAACAGTAGAAGAGCTGTTGGAAGCGGAGTTTTCTGTTCAGTTCGCGCCGAGGCTATATAACGAGTAGGAGGTTGGTGCGAATTGGCCGCCAGCCTAGGTGGACGTGAGGTCGGAAACAGAAGAACGTCCACTATTCAAAGCTGCTACCAAGCAACGGCTAGTGAGGACCGTGACTGAGAATACTAGTCTGCGCGTGACAGTGATCTGCAAAGCGAAGTCACGACTTGTTTAAGATTTCAATAAATCCGGACACCAAACCAGAAGCCCAAGAGGCGTTACAAATTTACATAGATATGAAAATGGAAAAGTTGATTTTGGCATATCACTACGAGGAAGACAATAAGGCTTATTCTGGGCCGCGCCATAGCTCAAGAGATTAGTCGCTGGCTTCCCACTGCGGCGGCCCGGGTTCGATCTCGGGTCTGGTCAAGTGGAATTTGTGGTGGACAAAGTAGCGCTGGGGTAAGTTTTCTCCGAGTACTTTGGTTTCCCCTGCCAATCTTCATTCCACCAATTGCTCCACAGTCACCCTCACCTATCATCTGGGGCTGGTACAATAGGCCAGAAGTGACCGCAGTACAAGGGACTTAGTCCCACCCCACTAGAAATAAAAAAGGCCCATTCTGTGCATTTCGAGGAGCAAAAAGGGAAAACAATGAGCACAAGTCCGGCTGTCGGGTTGCCAGGCAGAGGTGGATCACTTCAAGTCCCTGGCTGCGAACGGACGTTCATTACATGACAACATGAAGACCCAGGATAGAGTAAATTAACATTTCCTTGCTCATACAAATAAAGCAGGAAAAATTGCGAGATTGTGGGTACAATAAGTTAGCGCAGACGAGTGTTAGAACTTTGCCCTTCCCACCAAAATAATTGCTTTCCTCTGCCGTCCACCTGAACCTGCAAATTGATTGCCCTCACACGAACCTTAATGCAGGGTTGATGGATGGCGGATATTCGTCTGCGTCTTCCTCTCCGGCCGCCCGGATGGTCACTTGGCCTTCATCCGCAAGAACCGTCTCCCGCAGACAGAGCGAGCACTGGCAATTACAAATGTCATTCCAGAGGCAAATTGTCTTCACGTCGCAATCACGCGTGAACCCCGCGAAATGAAATGCTACTGCTCTATGGGCGCCGCAGAACGTGATGAGCCTTCGCTGGTAGGGCCCCTTGCACAGGGGATCAGCCCGCCACAGGCCCGTATCTACACACAGACATTCATGCCTCGAGTGGGATTCGAACCCATGACCGCGAAGACACATCATGCATTAGACAGCGAGGCATTATTTCCTAACTATTAAATTAACTAACAAACCGACTCTCTAAATAACTAACCAACTCCATGTATATGAGTACTCCGTGACAAGCTACGAATGTCTCAGCTACTCATTAATTTCCCAATAAAATTCATTTTAATATTATCCCACCTACATCTAGGTCTCTCTTTCCTTTGGCTTTCCCACCAAAGCCCTATATGTATTCCCACTGTCTCCATTCGTGCTACATGCCCTACCCATCCCATCCTACTTGACTTGACCATTCTAATTGCGAAGGGTACAAGCTATGAATCTCCCCAGCCCCGTCATATGATTTACTCTCCGGTCCGAGTCATTTTCTCCTGTACGTACAGTCCATAAACAAACAAGACGCCACCCTGCAATTATTTCTCAAACAATAAACAGTCACAGAGGTCTATCGCGGCGTAGGGGTACCAGTTTAAACTGGAGGTGATCGGTTCAAATTTCTGCCGGGGCACCGGCTATCCTGGCCAAGGTTTTCGTGGGTTTCCTCAGACACTCCAAATAAGTGCCCTTGCCGATTTCTTCCAAATTAATTCCAGCTCATCATTCGCCCCCTCCCACCACAGGACGCTACTCAGTGTGCTACTGTCAGCGTCTTGAAGTTCTGCCGGACATGAAGAAGAGATATCCGCAGCCCAGAGCAGAGGATTAGTGGACACCGGACGGAAGTGCACAGATCAGAACTTGAATACACAGTGGTCGCAAGGTCGGGCCCCATACAGACTTTGAGCGCATGTGCGCGTTCTCTGGTGAATATCTAGACTATATATTGTAGCCTGTAGAGCCGTTACTATGCACCGACTGCGGATAAGCAAATACACCAGAGACGGTTCTAGGCAACGGCTCGGTGATCACGGTCCCGAGACAACGGATACTATGCAACAATTGAGATACTCTTGGAAAAGGTATTTTCTACTCGGTCCGTTCAAGGGGGTTATAAGGAAGAAAACTGAAGCAAGAAGAGTTCGAGTTCGACTGCGCTGGCGAGACCCAGCAGCATATGCAAAAGACAGACCCGTCCTCTCATCAGAGAGGGCGACCCAGAAGAACAAGACCGTAACTATCAAACGGTAAAACATATCTAGTCATGAGTCCCAGAAGGGGGCCCGATATCAAGACTGACTGACTGACTGACTGACTGGCCGTCAGTCGCAATGTGACTAAGACTTTGACAAGAAGAGTTCAATATCTGGTCATGTGCCTGGGGGTATAACCGGGCCATGTTCTTGGGGGATATAAATGCGGGGACCTTGCCCTCCAGTTTGGGGGGGAGTCATATGGTCATGAGTCCCGCGGGACCCGCATCTGAGAATGACTACCCTGGAGAGGACCAGCGGCAATTGTGAAAGACAGAGCCATCCTCTCGTCAGAGAGAATGTTACATAAGAAATATAACCGTAAGTGTTCTGTTGGAAAATAAAACTACTGGTCGTGGGTCTCAAGGGGCTTGCCGCCAAGACGAACTGATTGGCGGTAAACCGCCAGTCGTAAAGTAACTCTGACTCCGACGGTGAAGAAAAGTTAAGTTTGAAAGGAGCCGCCATTAAGAGAGGACTTGAGCATTGCTGAAGCCGTTACCAGGCAACTACTGGTGAAGGCACAGCAGAATGAAAAGACTTAGCGTGTGATATGTAAAGTGACGAAATTATATTCTGAATTTTGATGGTGGCCATCAGGTTCCACAATAAAATTGGTGGCCCCGTGGGATAGAATAAGGATTTATGGGGTTTCCACGGCGCTGGGCGCTCTTGGCCCACAAGACTAAACACAGGACGACACAAACACAGAATAAACGCACACAGACATCCATGTGTAAAGTGGGCTTTGAACCCACGATCCCGGTGTTCGAGAGGGCGAAGGCAATTCAAGTCTCAGACAGCGCGGCCGGCCACTGTGACCGGCAACCTGTCTCTGTTCCGTGGCCAAGAAATTATTATTTGTCCTTTAATATAACAGAACGCATTTCTCATCCCCGGTGCCTTAATAGAAACGATAATGCGGTCTCCTGACATTTCTCCCTCAATTTCCCGTGAAAGTTGCAAAGTAAAGGCCTGAGGATGTGCTTTGCTTTTCTCGTGGACGAGGCTTCACATCCTGCCTTCCTGCCTGGCTGTCCGGTTTCCGTGATAAGCTTCCTAATTCCATTGGCTGAGGCAGCAGCA